ATATCTAGATATTGAAATATAGTTATTCAACAGTTTTGGATTTCCATTAACTTCCATCTCATCCTTCGCAACATTCGCAACTTGCATAATTGGTTTCCATTTTTGTACCAGAACTTGCCAATCATGAGATGATGAATTACCAGTAGTAGACTTATTGACAAATTTGTCAAATGCAGCCTTTATCTGTTGCTCTAAAAACTTCCCATTTTGATATTGTTTTCCTTTCCATTCAAGCCAATTGTTGATCGTATATACATCTGATTTTCCTTTTGTATACGAAACTTTGGTTGGTTTTGAAATTGAATGATTTGGAAAATTTGGTTGTATAGGTGAAAATTTTGGTTTTGTTTGAGTTTTGACATTAAAATTTGATGAATTATTCGTAAATTTGCCAACATTGTGAAACTTATGATCATTCACAAATCTTTGCGAAGTCTCAAATTTTCTAATGTTGTCCTATTTGTGAACAAATTTATCATTATTTTTCATTGGAATTTTGTCAACAGAATTTATTGGTTTGTGAAAACTTGTATCCTTTTGAAATTTTGATGATTGTTTCTTTAAAATTTGTTCTTTTTCAACTTTTGATTTATCATTAGACACCACTTTCCAAAAGATTGATTTTCTTGCTTTTCTTTTTGAAACATTATTTTCTGTTGAATACTTTCCAACCATCAATTTAAATTCTTGAGAATTTAGTTTCACTTCCATCTTTGTTTTCTTTTTCTTGTTTAACCACCCATTTTTGTGATGATTTCTGACATTTAAAAACATAAGAATTTTGAGTCAAATTGTTTTCTACTGTATTTTGATTTGGAAAGAAACCTTCAGTAGTTGACCTTTGATTATCATTTTCAACCATTTTGTTGAATTTAGGTTTTATTTTCTCAACATTTCCAGTTGTGACAAAGACTTGATTTGGAAAAATTGTGTTATCTGTACATGTAAATTTTGGATAAACCACAATGTTAGTTTCCAAGTAATGTGCACCTTTGTCATTAATAATTTTGTCGAATTCTTTTGTATCTCTAAACACTTGATTAACAACAATTCGTTGAGGTGTTTCATGTGAATCCTTCACTTTTTCTTTGTCTTCATCAGTGTCATCAGTCTTCCAGCTTTCGACTTCCACATTATCAAAGTCACAATGTTGCGAAGTAGAGGATTTATCATTTTCATCCTTTACTATTGAATAAACTATAATTTCTTTACCTTTGACCTTAGATGTGATAATAATTGTTGACAATTTAGAACAATTGATCTCTTCTTCCTCTTCAATCTCACTGATTTCACTCACATTATCTGAATTGTCATTGACATCAGCATAATTGAGTTGAGAATCAAGAGTAGAATTTTCAGTTCTCTTTAAGATTTTCACTTGTTCATTCTTTGTCAAACTTTCATTGACAATATCAACCAACTCATCAGCATTTAAGAATTCATCATCTTTAACAATACCATATGCGAATCTATCATCAGGTATTTTGTCAAGATGAGCAATTGTGTTTTCACAATCATAAGAAACAACATCAACTTTTTCGCGTTCATATTCAAGAAAAGGTAAAAGTTTCCTATGTTGTTCTTTGCTTATTTAAGATGAATGATGTAAACTAATTAACTTCACATACAAACGTTTAGCAAGTTACAATATATGTTTCTTTGTGCTAGCAACAACCTAACTTCTTTATCTAAGCTGTTCCAATCACAATTTACATTTTCCATTTGTAGTTCAAGTTTATCTACTCTGCTTCGTTTTATTTCTAATTCTCTTCTTGTTTCAACTAGATCCAATTTTAGATTTTGTGCTTCTGTACTAGCAGAGACAATAACAGAATCAAAATAAGCAACCGTATCATCAAATGAAGTTATTTCAGCATCATAAGCAGATAAAGGAATATTAAATGATTCAAGAATAGCACGTACCTTGTTGGTCATTGGAGATTTATCAGTGGATTTGGACACAAAGCATCGTCCAGAAACTTCCTCTTCACAATTGTCTTAATAGCTTGCGAACATTGCTCCATGAGTTGGATGCCTCATTTCTTCATCATCAGATCTTGAAGACCAGATCTGATAAATTCCACTTTCTTCTTCATCAGACTCCCCTTTCGCAACTAATGACAAACTTTTTTCCTTCGCACGTACCTCCTCAAGCTTTTCTGAGTAGTAAGCTTCATTCTTGATTTTGCTTTTCTTCTCTTCTTTCTTTCTCAGCATACAATCAGTTGTGAAGTGGTTTGCTCCATTGCAGTAATGGCAATATATTCCAGAATCACCTTTTAGTTTCATCTCTTCCTTTGCATCCTTCTGCTTGTCCTCAACCTTTTCCAATTTCTTCTTTTCCTCACCTCCAGCTTTTGTAAACCACTCTTTGCATCATTTAGCTTTCCTTTTGGATTGAAAGGCTTTTTGAAAAATTTCTTAACTCTGTTGTTTGAATAGAATGCAACTGCTTCATCATCATAGTTCATTAAGAAACCTTCATTGTCTGATTCTTCTTTCTCACCAGCATCAATTTCAGTAACCTTTGAAACTAAAGCCAAAGGTCCTCCTAGACTTTGTTTCGTTTCTTCAAGCATTTCTGCAACTTCACTTTCATGAGTTTTCAGTTGATTGTAGAAATCATTCAAGGTGGTTGTATCAAAACTTTACTAGTTCTTTATCATCATACTCACACTACGCCATTCTTTGCGAAGAACCATGACGAATGTCAGATTGAATTCCATAAGAGATCTTGAGATTCCATACCTGCTGCATCGATAAACAAGCTCATTCAGACGATCATAATAGTTTTCAATTGTTTCAGCATCCTTTTGTCTGAATTCCTTAAGTTCAACAAGACATTGCTCAACATAATTGATCTTTGTTTTCTCACTTCCTTGATATTTCTCTTTTAGTATGATCCAAATATCCTTGGCTGTTTTACAACTACGAATGTAATTGTAAACCACAGGAGGAAAGCACATCTTAGCTCCCTCATACATCTTTTCTCATTCTTTTTCATGCGATTCTGTTGTTCAACAACGTTAATTGAAGAAGCAGATGATCCAATTGTTTGAACATTTGCAGGAGGTATAACTTTTCCACTGATACAATTCCAGAGTTCTTCATCAATTCCATTTAACTAATCCTCCATCCTATCAGCCCACTGATCATAGTATTCAGGGATTAACATTAGAATTTTGGTTGAAGAACCAAGTAAGTGAGAGAAAGAAGTCATGGTGTTCATGTTGAAGTTCGCCATTGATGAACACGAGAAATTTTTAGAAAGCTTGAAAAACTTGATGTAATTGTGAATTGATCAAGTGAATTGATCAACGATTGCTAATCGATCACTCGACTAAACAATTCAAATGCAGAATCGATTCAAATCTGAAGATCAAGAGAGATTTTCAGAACCAAAAAGCACGGAAAATTTTGAGTAAAATTATTACTCAAAAAAATAAATGATTCTAAAATGAAAATCAGATCAATGCAGTTTGAAATCCTGCTCTGATACCAATTGAAGAGAATTGTTATCGAGAATCAGAATGCAATCATGATTGTATGAATGTAAAGTATGAACACAGGAAGTAAATATTAATCAGATCTTATATTGATGAAGAACTGATTACGATAAGCAGAGAGAAAAATGCGAATGATTAATGAATCACTCGAGTATATCGTCCCTTTACTTCTAACCTCAGTCCCTATTTATAGGAAACCTGAGTGTACAAAAAATATACTAAGTCATGAACTATAAGCTTCGCACAAAAGAAGACTTAGTAAAATAACTAACATGCGAAATAAAAGAAACAAACATTTCGAATTTTACAACTTCTAGTCTCTACAAGCCTCATCTTTCATGGTTAGTGTAGGGTGAGCCCTATTTATGAGTTCCTGATGAGGACTTCAGTTCCTTCCAGCTCCATTAGGACATGACTCACTCTCGATGGTGTCTACCACATAATATTTCTGCAGATTCCACTCCACGCATCCCGACCCCACCCCGAGAGCTCCTGAGCGGCTGGTCATCGACCACGAAGGCGACCCCCCTATTCCTCCCGCTCGCTCCACTCCTCCTACTGCAAGGAGGTCCACTTATGTTGCCCTGATATGGACCACACGTTACTTCTACACCCAGCGGGCGACTCAGTACCATGACACATACATGAGGCGTTTTGATCACCTTGATCGAGTTGTTGCCAACATTCAGACTAATTTGTCTACAACCAACGCCTCCGTCGAGCAATTGGCACAAACAGTACAAGAAGCTATGTAGTTCATGATGCATTGGGCCCCCCGCAATCAGTAGGTTGCCCTACCCTCTCCGAGCATCAAGGATGATGCTTATTCTTAAGCTTGGGGAGGGGTTTTTGTACATTAGGTTCTAGTTTCCACATACATTTCATCAAAAAAAAAAATCCAAAAGGATTTCACTTTTTTTTATGCATTCATTACAAAGCATTCCAAAAAAATTAAAATTAACACTACTAGAAAAACAGCCTTTTACGACGCTCATTGCGCGTTGTAAAAGGCTCAGACGACGCGCAAATGCGCGTCAAGGAAGGCCCTGTCATAAAGAGAGACGACGTGCATTTACGACGGGTAATTATGACGCGCGTTTAGGACACGCAATGCGTATCAAGAAAACCTCTGTCAAGAAAGGCCATGTCATAAATGAAGAAGACACGCATTTTTGCGTATCATAATTTTAAATGTTTAAAAAAATATATTATTTATTGGTTTACTAATTTTCAAATTAAATAGTACATTAAAAATCTCATAATAAAAAATAAAATACCATAAATAACAATGATAATTCATTTCACTAATATGTCAAATACAAATAATTATTCCAAAAGTGAGTAAATCATGTTATAAAAAATGAACTCATTTATATACAATTGCATCATCTAGCTTACTATGTGCCAACAACTCTCTGTGTGTTTACTTTTGCTTGAGTCTCATTTCCTCCAAAGCGTCTAGCCATGCCAAAATATGATATTTTGAGTCTCGCTTCAAGAACCAAAATCACCTTCAATCACCCAATTAAACTCTAATGTTGGTAGACTGAGAGTTCCAGAATCAAGTTTCCCATTTAAGGACCAGCCAATTACCAAAAGGGTGAGTGGATTTTTCTTACACCAATGTGTCATCTACATACAAGGAAAGGGTTACAAACAAGTTAGAAGAAAAAGTAAGAGAGAGAAGAAAAAGTACTTCTTTATGCATCCAAACTCATGTTGTAGTCTTCATTATTCATATGAAAAATATAACATACATTCTTTGCTTATATAGTAAGTATAGAATGAGGATTTCACCATGCAGGGAAAAAGAAGAACATCATATGGTTAGTTACCTGATCCACAAGATAATCATTAATAGTTGGACTAGTAAAAAAATCCATAAAATTAATTAATTATTTGGTACCATATAAGGCTTAATGTTAATTGTTAAGTTACCTGTTTGTTTCGTAATCTTTTATTGGTGAAAGTGAAGTAGTCTTGAGATATTCAACTGTGAGAGGCATATGATGAGTGAAGGGTAAAAGGGTCTTTATTGCATTGTTGATTCGGTTACAAAAAATAGATATACTTGACTTGTCAAAACTTGTAAGGTATAGTGATAGCAAAAAAAAACATTTTTGGAATAAATACACTACAATATGAATTATAATTTTTTTTAAAAAAAAAAAACATATGAATGTAAGATTATTGGCTCACCATCTTCTTTGCACATGGGGAATTTGGTAGCTCATTGCTTGCATCCTGTCATTTGAAGAAACATATCAGAAACATGTAAAGATTTGAAATGCAATTAATAGCGTTTATGTAAAGATTTGAAATGCAATTAATAGGGTCTGTATCCCTGCAAAGAAAAATGTTAATATTTTCTCAATTCTCATAAAAAACGCACTAATAGGGTTTATGTGATATATAAAATATAAATCGACTTGCCTTGTGAACAAGATAATCTGCAAGTGTAGTGGCATGAAGATGTCCAGTTGGTAAAGACTTTTGTATTCTTTCATGGTTGGATGTGATAGATAAACCCAATGTGAACTCTTTGTATTCTCACAGGACCAAATATGGAAGTACAGTTCTAAATGCAGTTTCTATTCTCGTTGACAACAAGCTTTTGTACTTTATAACTTAAAACACTCTAAAACTTCTGCACAAAATTCATAAAGTTGAGACACATTTTCCAACCTAGACCTAAAAAAAGAACTTCAATGACCCTTATTTAAACTGCATTAAGAACTATACTTCCACATTTGGTCCTGCCCCTCTGAAATCTTTCAGAAAAACAAGAAAAAACCCAAGCATACTACTCTACCACCACTCAATGATCCTGGCATTTATCATAACACAATCCTTCACCAAATCAACTTGACATTATTGTAGATTCAAAAACGTCAACATCAGTCAAGGCAATCAATATCATGCTAGAGAAAAGGTAACAAAAGGGAAGACATAGTCATACCTTGTCAAGTGCAAGGATCTTTGTCCAGATGAACACAAGAATTTGTCGAAGTTCAGGTGTGGTTAGAGATGCAAGCGGATCGGGTATTACCCGCTACCCGTGGGGATTTGACCCGAACGGATCAGGTATTCCCCGTATTATCGGGTAACGGTTTGGGGATGGGGTTCAATTTCTTACCCAAAACTGGGACGGGGCGGGGACGGATATACTACTGTCTGCCCCATTTCAGACTCGATATATATATATATATATATATATATATATATATATATATATATATATATATATATATATATATATATATATATATATATATATACCCACACACACTAAACTTAACAAAAATCAACTTTTATTAAATACATATTTAAGTTACCGAGGTATAGTGCATTGAACAGATTAGCATGTGCATGCCTCTTCGATTAAGAGTGTGCCTCTTCGATTAAGAATACATAAGATTTAAATAGGAAAGCTCCAACAAATAAGAATACGTCAACGTTAAATAGCAAAAGTTCCAACAAATAAGAATATGGAAACTTTAAATAGCAAAGTGGTGGGTCAAAACTTTTACTCAAGAATCCATGTTAAAAACACAGTTGTTTATTTATTAAACATCTTTATATTTCAATATTTTAAAACAATTTGATATTTAATATATGGAGAATTAAATAAATTTTGTAATTATTTTTACGTTTTATATTTCCATATCCTTTTTAAAAACATAATTGTATTGCTAAACGGGTACCCATCGGGTTCCCAGAACCCAGTGGGGATTATTTCACCTGTAACCGTCGGGCATTTGGCGGGTTGGGGTCAGGGATGGGTGTGGAGATCGGAGGGTGGGTTCGGGGATGGGGATTACAGTATCCGCCAATATCCGCCCCTGTTTGCATCCCTAGGTGTGGTTGTTTGCAATAGCTTCAGAACATATGGAAATATTCCCACTGACAAGGCCTAATTCAATATAGCATACCATTAGAAACATGTAACAAGTGATGCAGATTGAGTAAAACTGTAAAAAGGTAAAAACCTAAAATAACCTACCAAATCAACAACCAATGGACCCATATCAGTAAATCTTCCAAGAAGCACAGGTGCACGAAACCTATGGCATTGATTGAGTAAAACCTGGGGAACAATAGGCAGCTGCTCAGGTGGTTTCTTATGTTCAGACCAATGATCCAGCCACACCTCAAACGCTGTCAATTGCTCAGTGAAAAGAGGACTCGGCTTCCACATCAACAATTAATCAATAACTTTATCAAGAAAGCATTTGAAGAAGTAACTAGAAAATATCAGTTTAATCTCAGACCTAGAATTCTGCATTGGGATCCTCGAGCAATGTTGGAAGTTGAGAAAGGCAGATTTCAGCAACAATATCCCATGCATCCCTGTAATGACACGTGGTCAAACCATAACCAAAATAATCAAGATTCAAGAATTATAACATCATAAGCAAGTTGATGTGTTTATTACCACATATGGTGTTGATGAGTTGGAGGCAACATCGGATAAGATACAGGAGAACAATTTGCAGAACGCATAATTCTCTCTGCAAGTAAAAAGTTCCGAAACAAACTCACAACCAAAAGATCTTGCCTGAATAATCTCTTAAACAAATCTGCAAAAAGATATAATCATGTACTGATTTCAATCACCAAAGTAAAGAACCATAGTAAAAAAAAAGGAAAAAAAAAAAAGAAAACATTCTCTATCAATAATACCATGTAGAAGAACATTCCAGTCTATTGTGTTTGTAACTGCAGTAAAAATTCAGTTCAGCTCACCAAGAAATGGCTTTGTTACCTGCCAATATGTCAAAAAGACAACACTCTTTATGATGACTAATTTAGGAACAGGATTGAATGGCTGGAGGAGATCCATGCATGCATTATGGTTCCATAGACCTAATTTTAGTAGCAATAACCAAATAGTGTTAATCGAAGTGTAAATGCACAATTTGGATGCAAAGAGAAAAGTTAATGCAAGTCACAACTCCCCCAAAAAATTGTTATCATGGCTACAAATGACTATATCCATCATACTTTCCTATCAACAAAATTGGAAGAAGCAATAAAACAAACAGGTGGTGGGTGTGAGAAAATTGTCTTCTTTCATGAAATGTGCATAATAACGAACCATCATATGTCCTTTGTCCTTTGGATAGTATTAGAAAAATATAATAAACACAAAATAAAAAAATCAATTTTGAATATTTTTCAGTGGAAATCTGCAACTGCAGTAGATAATAGTACAATCAATCAAAAATGGGGAAGCCAAGGAATAAGGAAAAACGTAGAGTGATAAGATAACAAATAATTTTATGAATTTCAGAAAGTAGAAACCTTGACATCGATTGTAAATTTCTTATTAAGAACAGGGAAAGAATTTGAGAATGAGTAGAAACCTCTTTCAGATACTCTACCCATTTTAGGCGACCTAACTTAACACCCTAATAGCACCACCCCTATATCAGCAACCATCGACTTCACCGCCCCCAGTAAAGGTGCTAGATATTCCTCTATGTCCACCACATCGACAATGATTAACATGTCAAAAGGAAGTTTTAGGGTTTGATTTGGTCCGAATTAGTCCAATGGAGTTGTACCTGAGAACCTAGGTGATTTTTCCCCGTAGAATCCTGCATATGGATTCAAAGACTCGTCAGAAGCCAGAATTAGGGTAGTAATGAACATATGAAGGTCAATGAGGAATATGAATGAACTTAACCGCATGAATACAATCAGCTTTGGAAGAGTAAAATTGATTAAAATAAGCATTTTGTTTCTATCTCAGCTGAGATAGAGACGAAAGAGAAGAAATTTCTACCTTATTTTCATGTTCATAGGTTAAGGAATTATCATACCATTAATTATCACCAATAAATTCATTAATCTCGCATGTTTTGGTTCCCAAATTAGAAAAATAATCAAATTCGTCCCAGAGAAGAAATAAGCCCTAAAGAATGGGCAGAGATAGTTAGCGAGGGAGGGAGGCATACGACAACGACAAACTTCATCATCTTCTTACACTGCCTAGCGGTGTGTGATTCACGGCTACGACGTGATTAGGGAAAGAGGGAAAAAAACCCATAGAAATCGACAACGCCATCTCCAAAATTGACCGGAAAACACCTCCGTTCATCATCACCGGCAGATCCATCCTAGTCTCCCTTCTTTCCGTCACTTCTCACAATAGAGAAACAAGATGGGAGAGTCGATTGTGAAGATGAAGAAAAGAAGGTAGAAAAGAAAGGCGGGTTTTCAAAAATTTTGGGTTTCGTTTTCCCCCGTTATCTTCTCAAGCGTGTTTTACTAAAATTATAAAGCTACATCTACAGAAGACGCACGTTTAAGATAAACCGCCCTCCGTGTTTTTAATTTTTTTTTTTCTTGAGACACAAATTTAAGGGCACGCAAAAATGCGTATCCTCTATCCTTCAAATTTTGGAGGTCTAACATTATTTTTAAGGACACCTAAAAATGCGTAACGTGAATCAGCGAGTGTCATTGTTTGCGCGTCATTAAAGGCTATTTTTCTTGTAGTGTAAAAAAATAATAATAAAAAAAATTACAAATTCTTAGTTTGCATTTATAAAAACTCCAAAAGATTTTTTGTTTTTGGCATTCTTATCTTTTTGCATCTTAAAATAAATAAATAAATAAATAACGAGATGAGGACAATCTTTACATACGATAGCTCCGCGAAGTGGACAAATGAAAAAAAAAAAATCTAAAGCGATGGGATCGTTACTGGAAGTGTAGAATCAGCTGTCATAACTAGGGGACCCAAACACTATAATTCAATACCCCGACCTTAGATAAAAAAAAATGGCATACTGAAACATTTTTGTGAGCGATAATAACAGCTTTGAGATTATTTGCTTTTGAATATTTAAAAAGAATCTATATCGACAACTCTAGACCTACAAAACACAAACCTATTTGTTGACACGCGTTACCCTCGCGGTAATAGAGAGCTTAAGTATCAGATCCACATAGTCAAGAAGGAAGAAAGGGTACCGTTGTCATATCCAGTACCCAAATCAAAAATTCAAGCACTCAACCGAATAAATTTTAAGAAATTCAAAAAACTGATTGAAGAACTCAAGCTCAAAACAAAGATACAAATCCAAGTTCAATCAAATCAGAAGCCATCTCAAACTCAAATTTAGCGAATGAAGAACTGTGTAATATGATACTTGTGGCTCTCGAAAAAGTGAAAGCATAGGAGTTGGGCCCTTCGGGTGGGCTCAGTACTTCAGCGAAAGTTGATTTGTCGTGACGAGTTCTTAACGATGTGTCGATTTTGATTCTTGACTATCTAGTCTAAAGGACATGAGATCATGGACCGTGTTATTTTTTATCACAAAGTTTGTAACATCCCCAATTTCTGAGGTCAAAATTTTCATTTTTAAATGAGTTATTATAAAACCAGTAGTATAAGAAAACATCCATAATAACATATCATGCCAAAACCAGTACGTCAATAATCAAAACATGTCATCATAAAATTATATCAGAGTATAATCCCAAAGATCTCATGTACGGAAAACATACGAGATCATGGACAGTGTTATTTTTGCTCACAAAGTTTGTAACATCCCCAATTTCCGAGGCCAAAATTTTCATTTTTAAATGAGTTATGATGTGTGTAAAATGCACTGGTTTTAATCCTACTTTTAAGTTATACATTTAGCACACAAAGGTAGTGAACCTGTCTTTTAGTGGTATAGATGGATAAGTAGAGTGTCGAACTCAAGGAACGGAAATTAAAATAATAACTAATTTTAACTAAGCAAGTAATAAAAGTAAAGGTTTTTCTCTAGTTTTACAAGACTAGAAACTTAAACAAACCACCTAACACGAGATTTAACTAAAAGCTAACAAGTAAAAATTCACCAAATTTTGATAAAGAGTTTCTGTTTAGGTCCAACCAATTCACTCCTATGGTTTTTTTTTATTGTAATGTGGTTTATTGATTATTATTGGTTACCAACTATAGTGGTTAGGTTCATATTCACTAATACTAACCCTTAGATAATTAATCAGTTCAAGCAGTGGCCAATTGTTTAAACTAATTAATTCCCTAGTTCAATTATTTGGATTAAATAAGATTTGTAATTGGTTAATCAAGTGGGTGATTCAATTAACCTCTTGTTTGTTGGTTTCTCAAACAAGCTCACACATTAATTTACCCATTCTCTTATTAATTCTAGTTTCATGTTCATTATTCCTAGTCATATGATAAAGTGGTCACATAAACATATGAGGTTAACAATTAAGAGATGTTCATGCAGCTTAATTGTCTTCCAATTAACAGAAAATAATTGTAGTTAATGCTTAAGGTTCTTTAACAAACTTAATTTAATGAAATCACCAATAAGCAATCAACAAAAGTATTAATTAAACCATAGGAGTAATTTGGTTCTTCCTAAACAGAAACCATCCGAATTTTAGCTCATGATTACAAGGAAAACAAGCTCAAAAACGAATTTGATTAAGCTAAACATAATTCAATCCTAAGATTAAGTGGAAAATATAACCTAATTCGCTTCTAAACTTCAAGAGATCAAAGGTTAGGGTTCTTTAGGTCTTCAAAGGTTTCTCCAGTCGTAGCTCTCTCTCCAAGGAAGCCAGAAAGTCTCCAATTCGGATTAAGGCTCCATATTTATAGTTATCACAAAACAGGGGCTACTTGGCGAGTAGGTCGTGGACTCGCCGAGTACGTGCATGGAATCTGTGTACAACAAGGATTTTTGACTTTTCTTCAGGAACATTCTCACGAACTCACCGAGTTGGTGCGTGGACTCGCCGAGTAGATGTGTGATTCTTCCTTTTTCTTCATTCTTTGGTCTCTAATCGCTCCTCCTTATTCCTTTTTCCTCCAAAGATGTCTCTTGGACTGAAAACACAATTTAAGCATCATTAAGTACCTTTTGTCCATATTATGCATATAATTAGCTAAAAATGAATAAAAATATATGCTAAACATATGGCTAATTATGCAAATATCAAAATACCCCATACTTGACTTTTGCTTGCCCCCAAGCAAAACTGAATTTTAGCACATTAGAATCACATAGGACAATTCCAATCGAACCCAACCATTATGCCAAGACCGCAACACATGCATTTGTGTCTAAAATTTTCCTAATAACCCCCTATACTCCAAACACTCACAATCCTAATAAACATTCGCCCACTTTTTCCGAACAATGCTCATTTTATGCATCCCTCCGAAACCATCCCCAGAAAACCTCTTAACCTCAAGGTATTTTTGGTTGAGCAACCTAAGCATACATAATCTAGAAAAAATTAAAATTTTTTGATACCACTATGGAGCCCTTTTCAATTCTTCATTTCCTTGACATTTGATCTTTAATTTTTTTGAATTCACCACCTTGTTGTTTGATTTTTGGTATCTTCAACTTTTTGAATTTCTCCAGAATTTTGATCTTTCATATTTAACTTTGATGCTCCAAAAATTCTTCAAACTTTTATTGTAATTCTCTCTCTTTTTTTTTACATGTACTCACTTTTTTTCACTCAAAACCCTACATGCTTAAGCAGGGGCGTTCAACTTCAACCTTTATTGGTTGACGATAATAATTTTCCTGGATACATTTCTGGTACACGATGCTAAACATATTGCATCCTTCAAACTAAGCGAGGTCGTATTTTTGTCCCATGATTTCACTGGAATAAGGAAGCCATAAATGCACTAGAACGTATATAGGCTCAACTAAACATTTGGGTTTTCATGCAATCATCAACACAATTCTAACATGGAATCCTAATTACTTTTTACCAAATTTTTCTAAATTAAATCCTAAGTATTTTTGGCATGCAATTTTTTTTAAAATAGACCTAAATTAGGATATTAGGATTCTAAATTTACTAAAATGTAACCAACTCCCTATCCCACACTTAATTCATGCAATGTCGCCATTGCATGTTATGTATGAAAATAAAAACATGAAATATAGAGAGAATTGGAACAAACTCCCCTGGGGTAGCAGTCGCAAAGGTGATTTTCTTCAATTAAGCTCCAACCTTGAATGACTTTAGACATGAGAACAACTCATCCATGTCTTGTGTTAGAACAAAGTTCTTTTAGGATCGTATGATTCTAAGCAAGATATAAAATAAGAAAGTAATAAGAACACAAGTGTTTTGCTGAATATGTCGAATGATTAATGCAATAACATCTCAGAAGAGCTCGATAAAGAACTTCAATCTGTAGAGGCGTTTAGGGTTACAAAAATCAACGTAATGAAAACTTGTTAATATACGCATACATGCATGCATATATATACTATAACCCTAACAATCAATCTAGATAACTATGTAACTAATCTAGATAGACACGGATGGACAGGTCCAATCCGGTTTACAAAACACTTAGGGGGTGTTTGGCTTAGCTTTTGAGAAGCCAAAAGATCTTTTAGAAAAAGATAGAAGCCAAAAGATGTTTGGCAAAACAATTTTAAAACCTACTTTTAGATTTTTGATAGAAGGAAAATTAACTTTTTGGAAAAGTTAGGAAAACCTGAATTTTTGTAACTTTTCCAAAAAGATCTTTTAGCTCTTAAAAAGCTAAGCCAAACACCCCCTTAGCCCAAGATGCAACACAAATAAACTCAACAATCTCCCCCTTTGCGTCCTTGGAGCAGAAACTTCATTCCTTCTTAACAACAAAAGGCTTCTTCACTGTTTTAAACACCTTTGGTATAATGGTCAACATATGATGTCGAAACGTAATATACCACCGAAGCATGTCTGTGAAGTTCTTCTTGTCAGCCACTGAGTTCTGCTTGCATTGATGTATGATATTTATGATATGCTCCAAGCAATCTGTTGAAAACAGATGCTTATCGACCAAAGCGAACAGAAACTTGTGTCTATCACCTTTAGTGAACATAACTGTCAGATTTGTAGAAGCAATTTGCCCTAATTTCATTTTGTTCACATCACTAGGCTTAGACGTCGGCTTCACAGTCAGCTTTCTGTTCATAACCTTAGCTATCTCCTGATCCATGGTTGCTAGCTCAAGAATATAGGAGGCCAACATTCTTTTAATATGTTCAAGAATCGGCTCATACTCTCTGGGATTAGAGAGCAGAATGTTGTATAGCAGAATCCAGTCGTGTGGATTAAGGT